GAGGGTGGCTTAATGGTTCTGTGGGATTTTCGAAGAGGTTGAGGGTGAGGTGGTGAAGGGGTGCTGTGAGAAGAGGGTTGGGGAGCAGGAGAAGTAGGAGCTGGGGAGGGAGAATTAGGAGGTGAGTTAGGTTAGGAGGGAGTGGAAATAGGAGGAGGAGGTGGATGAGGTGAAGGTGGATGATTGGATGGTGGGATCTGTGGTGGTGAAGGTGTGGGATCATCAACAATGAGAGGAGAAACTGGAGAAATGGGAAAGAGGTCTGGAGGATTAGTGTGAGTGGAGCTGGTGAGGGGAGTAGACTGGAAAGGAAAAAAGGATTCATGGAAAATGATATCCCTGGAAGTGAATATGTCATGGGAAGTAACATCATATATCTTGTAGCCTTTAATACCAGGAGAATAACCAAGAAACACACACTTCCTGGCCCTAGGTTGAAATTTTGTTCTGTGGTTCCCTAGAGTACTGGCAAAGCAAAGGCTACCAAAGACTTTCAAGTCTGTTAGGTCTGGTGGTGTGTTATGAAGAAGCTCATATGGAGTTTTGTTTTGTAGAACAGTAGAGGGTACTCTATTTATTAAGTGGACAACATGTTTGACACAATCACCCCAGAAACCAGGAGGTATTGAAGCCTGAAACTGTAAAGCTCTAGAAACAGCAAGTATATGCTGATGTTTGCGTTCAACTTTGTTGTTTTGTTGGGGAGTTTCAACACAGGACATATCGTGAATGATGCCTGTTATATGGAAAAAATCAGTCATTTGGAATTCCTTGCCCTGGTCTGATCTAATTCTTTTGATGGTAGTTTGGAATTGCCTTTGCATTTGAGTGTAGAAGGCAATGAGTTTTGGGCGAGCTTCTGACTTTAGTTGAAGTAAGATTAACCAAGTCATGCAAGTGAAGTTATCAACAATTGTCAGAAAATATTTGTAACCTACTTATTAGGGACTGAATTAGGACCCCAAATATCTACATGAAGCAGTTCAAAAGCATAAGTGGTTACACTTTGAATGGTAGGAAAAGGAAGTCTCCTATGCTTAGCAAAGTGACAAACATCACAAGGTTGGTCTCTCTGAGTTTGAATGGGTGAACAAAAGGAAATGAGGTGTGGAATCTTAGAATGGGAAACATGTCCTATCTAAAATGCCACAGATCAAATGAAGGAGAGCTAGCTGTTGAGATGTATTTAGGTATACTAGGAGCATCTAAGTAGTATAGGCCATTGAGCAATCTAGCAGAACCAGTCATTTTCATCTGCTTCAGGTCCTGTATGAGACAAAGGTTGGAATGAAAGGTTAAACATAGTGAGTTGGTTGTGGTTAACTTGCTGACAGAAACCAAATTAAAGGAAAAACTTGGAACATATAAAACAGCTTGCAAAACCAGGTAGTCATTGAAATAGATTTGTCCAGAATGGGTGGCTTGGATTTGCTCGCCAGTGGGAAAAGTGATGTAAACATTGTGCAAGGGAATGGGATTCTCAAGGTGATCCAGGGAGCAAACAATATGGTCAGAGGCTCCTGTATCAAGGGTCCATCTGTCTTTCTGGTGCGAACTAACATTCAAAATTGGTTTAGTAAGAGAATAGTTGGTAGAGGTACCTTTGGTAGAGACAAAGGCAGCAGCAGAATAGGATGGAGTGGATTTCTGAGAGTTTAGCAAAGTCATCAGGCTGTCATAGTCTGATCTAGTAAGCTTAACTTCATCAGATTGCTGGGAGGTGGAAGCTGCATTGATTTGACCTCTACTTCTGCCAGAACCTGGATTGGGGCTTCTGGGAACATAATCTGGAGGGAAGCATGCTTCCTGAAGTGCTTATCCTCTGTGTGACCATGTTTGCGACAGAAGGTGCACTCAATGACTTTGCCTGGGATAGGCATAGGAGGCCTAGGAACCAGACCAGGTGGCCAGCCATGTTTGTGGTAACAAACATCTTCTGTATGTCCTTCCTTCTTGAAAAAGGTACAATAAGGTCTTTTGCTAGGGGGAAAGGAACGTCTATTGGCAGCTAAGGCTGTGGCCTCTATAGTGGTAGTGGCTACCGGTTTGCTTGTCTGGATTCCATATAACTGTCGCTCATGTTGGAGCATTCGTTGAAAAACTCTGTTGATAGTTGGTAATTCTTCCCCAAATAAGACTTGAGAGCGAACAGTGGAGAAATTTTCATTGAGACCTCCAAGAAACTTAATGACATAGCTGGTGTCATGATACTCCATGACCCTTTTCATAGCTCTACAAGTCAGATGGCTGGTAGGGGTGCATTCACATGGAAGCAGGGGCTGATAATTTTCTAGTTCATCTCGAAGTGTAATAACTCTGCCATAGTACTCAGTAATTATTTGGATACCTTGTTTCAGGCTGGAGATGGCTTCTTCAAGTTCACCAACCCCGATGATATTGCCAAAACCATATATGGTTTGCAAGCTACGCCATGCTTCAAGAGTTGTCTTGGTGGAGAGGATTGTTTTCCTGATCTCAGACTCCACAAATTGTTGGATCCAGCTTAATATCATCACATTGTTGCGAATCCAGGCTCCATGTCTGGGATATGTTTCAGCAGGCTGGGGAATGCTGCCGTTGATGAAGCCCAGCTTGTTCTTGGCTGCAAGGGCATTGTACATCCCTCTGCTCCAGTCATTGTAGTTGAAGGAGTTAAGCTTCTCGGCAACGAGGACAAATCCAGGTTGCTCAGAACCATGAAGGAAGTATGGATCTTCCAACTGGTAAACGATTTGCTGAGGTTGATGTTGTTGAGGCTGTTCCTCATTGTCTTCTGGCTGCGGATATGCAAGTTGGTGGTCTGCCATTGGACGCGGCGGCTAGGGTTGTTGAGGCTCTGATACCATAACAAAGGATTTGAGAAGTGAAAACCCTAGAACTTGTCTTCATTTGATTCGGATCATTACATATATAGGCAGCAGATTCATTACAGGACAGTGGGGTGAAATGCTGCCATTGTTCGTTTGTTCTTTTGCTTGAAAAGGAAACAAAGCTTTGCTTGAAAGAAAAGAAAACAGAAAACCAACAATATCAGAACGGAGTGTATCGGAGAAACGCTGCGGATTGGCGATGTGAACTTCAAGTATCAGAACGACATCGTACTGCTCATATTCTTCAACCTTCTTCACGAAAAGAGGGGTGACCGTTGCATTTGAATTTTTTAATCTTCGTCTGCTGTTACAGGCCAAAGGTTGCCTTTTGACTCTTCAACTCGAACTGTTTTCTACATGGATATGGCTCTCCTCCCCATCCTCCGAGAGATTGGTTTCTGAATCTGACCCATCAGGAAACACCGGAGATGCCTACCTCGACTATGAGTATGGGGAGGATAGGAAGTCATCAGAGTCTACATTTAAGTGAGCCTCCGGTTCCACCGTATCCACCTCCCTCTCAATGCTAGTAATATCTGCGGAATGAATAAAATCTCCTCAAGTAGAGTTTGAACCTAAGATACACATGTTATACAACCAAACACCAAAGTAGAGGATGGATGCCAAAAGGCCTTAAATTAACGTTGTACTTAATTATACATATCATCTTCATCATCATTTTATGATTTCCACACCCCTCTAAAAAAACAAAAATAAAATGAGAATCTAGCCAGCCTGATTTTAGAAAATTGGAGGTTGTCTTTCTATTGGTAAGAGTGGAGGACGATGTCACAGAAAGCGCAGATGATGGCTCGCCATGCCTTTCAGTAGAAGGGCACACAGCAGAATTTGGTGCTACTTCTCATGTCGGCGATGCTTGCTCCCCCGCCGCACCTCGAGCATGTTCCCGCCACCGGCTTGCTGCTCTTCACTTTCCTCCTCTCATCCACCAAAAAAACACAACACCACCATCTCCTCTACTCTGTTAATTGCCATTATCTTTTTCTGTGCGTGTGCTCAGTTTAATGAATTACTTGGATTCAAACAATTTTTCTACTCTCTTTTGTGACTTTTGCTCAGACTAAATGGCCTATTTATACCAGGAGGTTTAGTCATGGGATTTAAGGAAGATTTGGCTCGGCTCATCAGCTGCCGTTGGATTTAAGAGAGCGTTGGGGGAGATTTGGTAAGAGCCATCTGATTTCGGTTAATGAACACTCTCTTTCTTCTCTATCTCTCTTTGTCAAATCATGCTCGATTAATGAATACTCACTTACAGGAAAGTCCAACTCAACCTCGACTCTGATGGCTCTTGAGATCATCAAGCAATGCCACAAGGATGATCATCGACATGGAAGTTTGGCGAAGTAGTTTAGTTATTTTTTGAATCTTGATTGGGAAATTAGATTTTCTCATGTGTATTGTGTGTAGGGAAGTTAATTTTGCCGCCGACTTGGCGAGGAAGGTCTATAACTATGATTTTGGCACACATCTCTTCAATGTGTACGACAAAGACCTTGTCCAATGGCTATGCCATGATGTAATGGGAGTTTCTCATGATCGATTTACTCCTTGGAGGGCAATACCATTCTCCTCGAACACGCCCAACAATAATAATTCGAGCCCGTCAAAATCGTCAAAATGAGGACCTTCCCGGATTATCAACGTGCATGTAAAAGGGACTATTCGGATGTTGAAATTACGGCATCGACTGAGGTGAGGAAGCCATCTAGTAATCTTCATCAATGGATTGGAAGAAAGATGAACCGAGATACAAAAGAGATAATCGAAAAACAAAAGTATGTTAATATTATACAAAATTGAGTAAATGAAGAATAGATATCATTGAAACAAATTATCTGAAACAATTATTTATAGTTGTAATATGTTTTCATGGATATAGTTTACAATTAATTAACTAATTAAACATATAAACACATAATGGTATCTGACCGGTTCGGTTCAACCATTAACCTATCTAGCTATCAAACCAAAGGATCTAAACTGTACCGTTTGGTTCCATCGGACAGTTTGCCCTCCCGAGTCCTGAGTTGAGTTCTCTAACCAAAGCACACAAATTTTCAAAAGTCCGCTGCTCTGGTTTCCGCTTCCATACTTCGATCCCTTTTTATGAAGCCTTTCTTCTCTGTGAATCGCCATTGGAGCTCTGTTCCCTCCCTTAACTATGTCAAACCAACTCAAACTTATCCACAAACCAAGGAATCGAAAATTCTCGAATGCTGCAAATCGGGAGCTCTCTTTCCCGCGCTCGACCTTCTTAATGCCATTGATTGGAGAGCCTTCTCTAATAAACCTCTACTATTTGCTTCTCTTTTGCAAACCAGTACCAAAGCTCTGTCATTTCGCTCTGGAGTTCAGATTCATGCCCATGTCGTGAAGTCCGGCCTCGAGACCGATAGATTTGTGGGGAACAGCTTGCTCGCGCTTTACTTCAAGCTGGGTTCTGATTTCGTCGAGACTAGGAGAGTTTTCGACGGGCTCCATTTCAAAGACGTGATTTCCTGGACTTCCATGTTGACTGGCTATGTCAAGTTGGAGAAACCCACAAGTTCGATCGAGTTGTTCTTGGAAATGTTGGATTGTGGCGTTGAGCCAAATGCCTTCACTTTATCTGCTGTGATAAAAGCGTGTGCGGATCTTGGCGACCCGAGACTGGGCAGATGCTTTCATGGGATTGTATTTGTTCGCGGGTTCGACCCCAATCATGTAATTTCCAGCGCGTTGATTGATATGTATGGAAGGAATTCGGGTCTCGATGATGCACGCCAACTGTTCGACGAGTTGCCCCAACCAGATGCTATTTGTTGGACGTCGGTGATGTCAGCTTTCACAAGGAACGATATGTACAGTGAAGCTTTAGGGTTTTTTTATTCGATGCGAAGGAAGCATGGGTTCTCCTCAGATGTCTTCACTTTCGGCACGGTTTTAACTGCTTGCGGCAACTTGGGGAGGGTCAAGCAAGGCAAAGAAGTTCATGCTAAGGTCATTACTTCCGGAGTAGGTGGAAATGTTGTAGTCGAAAGCAGCCTTGTTGACATGTACGGGAAATGTGGGCTGCTTGATGAAGCTCACTGCGTCTTCGATAAAATGGGCGTAAAGAACTTTGTTTCCTGGTCAGCATTGCTTGGTGGGTACTGTCAAAACGGCGATCTGAAATCAGTCATCAGAATATTTAGAGATATGGGTCAGGACGATCTTTACAGCTTTGGTACCGTGCTTCGAGCTTGTGCTGGCTTGGCAGCCATCAGGCAAGGTAAAGAAGTTCATTGCCAGTATGTGAGGAGAGGTGGGTGGCGCGATGTCATTGTGGAGTCGGCTTTAGTCGACCTCTATGCAAAATGTGGCTCTGTCGATTTCGCTTACAGGGTGTTTGAACAAATGCCAATGAGAAACTTGATAACTTGGAACACGATGATTCGCGGGTTTGCACAGAATGGAAGAGCCAAAAACGCTCTTGAAGTGTTTGATGATATGGTCCAGCAGGATGAGAAGCCTGATTATATTACCTTCATAGGAGTTCTTTTCGCTTGCAGTCATTCTGGTCTCGTTGATCTAGGGAGGAAGCATTTTGCATCTATGATCCACGAATATAGAATCAGACCCGGCATTGAGCACTACAATTGCATGATTGATCTTCTGGGCCGTGCTGGGTTGATAGAAGAAGCTGAAGATTTGTTGGAGAATGCAGACTGCAGAGACGATTCGTCTCTTTGGATAGTTCTTCTTGGAGCCTGTGCTACCAGTACTAACCTTGCTACAGCGGAGCGCATTGCTAAGAGAACCATGGAACTTAAGCCTGACTACCATCTCAGTTATGTTTATCTGGCTAATGTTTATCGATCTGTAGGGCGCTGGGATGATGCAGATAACATTAGGAGGTTAATGGAGGACAGAGGGGTTAAAAAGGTTGCCGGGACAAGCTGGAGTTAGGCTTTTAGAAAATGTGGTACAACGGGGCCAGCGAGGGAACCAAAGACAGAGATCTTGAACTATGGGTATGTCTTGATCTGTAAGAAAGAGTTGTCTGTGCTAACGTTTTTTTTTTTTTTTTTTACAATGTGCTAACTATTTTTTCGTCTGTAGAATCGAATTACTGTTTTCATCATTTCGTAGCTCCACCCCTGATATAATGTTCAGAAATGGATGGTAACAAATCGATTATAACAATTTTGTTGAGGTTGAATCATAGGAGCGAATTATTACAAGCGATTATGACTATCCCGAAACTTTAACTTAATACCGAGGTAAATGTGAATCTGTGTAGCTCATGTTATAGTTATAAATTCTCTTGCCACGGAACGCAAAGCATCATATCCTTCGTTCATAACCAATTGCGCCCTCAGTATTGTACAAGGTCCAATAACAAAGCATGGATGAACATTACTGGTATTTACATTACTTAAGTTCTTAATTAATGAAGAGGTTGTTTCCTGATAACCCACAGCAGATTTTGAGGAAAAAATCCCAAAATACCCTACCTATTAAAAAAAATTCCTCAAATACAAGACTTATAAAAAATTTTCCCAAAATACAGCAGTTTCAGCATCACTGTCATTGTTCAAGACAGTGATGGTGTTCACCGTTTTGGTCCAAAACGGTGATAGTATCACCGCTTTAAACAACAACAGTGATGCTATCACCGTTTTTGTCCAAAACGGTGAAGCTATCATCGCCTTCAACCAACGCGGTGATAGCTTGACCGTTGATAAGAACAACGGTGAAGGTTTATCACCGTTGAGATCAAAAACGGTGAAGTTGGCGCGGATCGCTGACGTGGCGAGGAGCGGGGACTTCACCGCGTAAGACGAAAGCGGTGATAGCCCCGCCCCGCCACGTCAGCCATCCGCGCCATCCGCGCCCTTCACCGCTGCCGTTCGATGCGGTGAGGCGCGGATTGTGGTTTTTCTCCACGATCCGACGCCTCACGCCTCGCCACGTCAGCCATCCGAGCATCATCGCCTTTGACCAAGGCGGTGTTGTCACTGCGGCCGATGAAAGCGGTGATTGGCCGCCATAAATTTCCAGCGTCCCCTTCCCCTCCCTTCCCCCCTATAAATACCACTCCCCCCCCCCCCCCCCTCATTCCAAATCACACCACCAAATTTTATACTTCTTTCTCCCTCCAACTTCACTCTAGTTTCGTTCTAAGTATGCTCTGTGGTTGCGGCTAAGTCCGATCTTCCGCATCAGAAAGAATTACTAGAGTTTTTGTTTTTTGTCGATACTCTCGCTAGCTTTTCGGCAAAAAATGGACGAAGAGGCTTTGAGAGTACGTAAATTTATTTAATTCTTTTGTGATTTTTTTTTACATGGGTGCTAAAATTTAAATTGATTTGATTTCATATTTTTTTATAGATGGGTGCTGAGATATACGACCCTAGATTGTATATCGATCCTGGCCCAAGGGATCGAAGGTATTTAACCGGGCAAGATCAACATCGCTCTCGTTCAATTTGGAACAATAATCCGGTAGACACACTAAAATTATTTCAATAGTTTTAAAGTTTTTATTTTGCTTTCTAAGTTTTTATTTTGCTTTCTATTGACTGACAATATTGTGTTTTTTGTTTTGTAGGAATCACTTATTCCCATCAGTCATCGAGGTACATGTCGATTGCCCCGTTGGCATCCTCGACTGCATCCCTATCTAGAGAGGGCGGGATTGCACAACTTGAGGCACTTTATGAGGCTTGATATTGACAACGATCTGATGACGGCAATGGCAGAGCGATGGCGCCCTGAGCTGCATACTTTCCACTTTCCCGAGGGTGAAATGACGATCACCCTCAAAGATGTTGCCATCCTCACCGGGCTCCCGATCACCGGAGATGCCATCATCGACAACTCGAGAAAACCAGAAGATGGTTGGGGGCCATTGATTCAGGAACGCCTGGGGTTCAACATGCCGACCACCACGGCCGTCGAAGGTCAGGGGCATCCACCACTGAATGCGGGGCAAGTATCGATCCCGTGGCTTGTTGACCACATCCAGATGGAGGTTAATATAGGCCCGGATACTCCTGAAGATCAGGTGGAGCGGTATGCACGTGTCTACCTAATTGCCTTGGTTGGTGGGTTTCTGTTCCCCGACAAGTCAAACCGGTGGATACAAGGCATGTGGTTAAATATGCTCCTCGGTGACTGGGACGAGATCGGGCAAAAAAGCTGGGGGTCGGCCGTCTTGGCTGGGATCTACCGCGAGTTGTGTACTTGCTCGAAGTTGGGAGCGAAACAAGCTGGTGGTGCGATGTTCATACTCCAGCTCTGGGCATGGGAGCATCTTCCGTTTCTCGCACCTCAAGACCCTCGGGAATTCTGGTTGCCAGATGATGAGCTACGATTTGTAGCAAATCCCCCATATGGTTTCAAGTAAGTTCAATTTAAGTTGAATTTATTTTAGATATGCAATGGTAGCTAGTTAGGTGAATTTAGATTTTAGTGAACTTAGTGAACTTAGTATGCAATTTTAAGTATGCAATTATAGTATTTTAGTGAACTTAGCTATCTTCCAACTAAGCGAATTTAGAGACATTTTAGGTCTGCAATTCTAGTATTTTAGTGAATTTAGATATCTTCCAAGTAAGTGAATTTGGATTTATTCTAACCAAATCGTATTTAGCTAATTTAAAAATTGCTTATATATGTACTTTTGCTTAATTAGGTGGATCGGAGCAAATACTAACGACCACCAGCCCGAGCACTCTTTACTGTTTTATCGTGCTGAATTTGATAAGCCTTGGTGGAACCAGGTAAAAATATTGAATGTCATGATTTTCAATTAATTAGGTGGAGTGGATATAATTTTTACTAATGACATGAATTATAATGATTGTAGGCGGTATGGGATCCATATCCAAATGAAGTGGTTGAGTTGCATCGTCTTAGACATCCCGAGGATCAAGAGACATGGTTGTGCAAGGTGCCCTTAATCTGCTGGCACATGGTGGAGTGGCACCTGCCCGATCGATCTTTGAGGCAATATCGATTGGAGCATACGGGGAGTAAAGCATACGAGTCTGGGGAGTAAAGCATACGAGTCATCCCAATCACCGTAGACATCAGCCATGGCCTTCTGCTTCCCATGCCACGCCTTCTTATACCTTATGGTGTAGGAGTGTCGATCCTTCACCTCCGCCATGATAGCTTTTATCTTGATATCTGGTTGTGCCTCGATAAGGTGCTTAATGGTTCTTGCCACTTTTTTTGCTTTCAGTTGCCGGTGATCCTGTGAAAGTATGGTTGAGGAGCAACTGTGGTTGTTCTCTACTGTCCGCATGACCCAGACCCCCTTTCTCTTCATATATGGGCCGAAAGTCAGGGGCATCGTTCTGACCATATAAAAATTGATCAGGAACCTCTGTGTAGTAAGGCGTTGGTGCCTGTCGGAACGCCACCTCACTGTCATCGATATCGTCGTTATCGTCCGTATCTTCCTCCTCACTGACTGATCTCAAATCTTCCTCACTTTCATCGTCACTGGAGGCGAATGGATAGCTCGGCGAAGGATGGTCATCGTTAGCAGCATAACCAGCATCGCCTTCTTGGTCATGCGAAGTACGCCCAGTTCGAAGGGTGTTTTCAATGTCACCCCACTCTGGACCCCAAGCAGGCCATTGATCACCGTTGGGCTGAACGATATCGACGGCAGTCCCACCACCATGTGGCAGGTATTCTTCCCACCCAACACCTCCTTCAGAACTACCTCCTCCGTAGTTGCTTGAAGTACCTCCCCAACCATACCCTCCGGCAGAAGAACCTGCTCCGTAGTTACTTGAACTACCACCCCAGCCATACCCTCCTGCAAAACCATCATCATAAGAATACTGGTGAGAATGAGTTTCACCGACCGGCTCGGTCTCGACATACACCTCTACAAGCCGCACCCCGTTCTCAGATATGAACTGTGTCATCATGTTCGCGTCGTCATCATCATTTATGTCAACTCTTTCGTACATGACTCCGTCAGCACTCATGTTGGGATACCGGTAAGTAATTTGACGAACTCTCATTTGCCCGCCCGTACAAGTCCTTTCTGCACACTTGTCATGGAGTTCTTGCCACGAGAATCTCGACTCAATTGTAAGCATACTGGATTCGCCATCTTCATAGTCGATCCCAATGTTCGAGTTTGTCACCCGACCATTCCAATAAATAATAAGCCGAAACTTCTTAAATTTACCCATGTCTGCAATTTATAATAATTAAGTATAGTATATAATTAGTACATTATGGATACAAAAACAATATCATCCAAAGCGATAATAAAATGCAACTAATTGATCTATTATGAGAAAAGTAAACAAATTCATCTAAATTCATAACTAGCTAACTAACATCTATCATATCATAATTAAACTAAATAATATCATAACATATTTTCCAATAACCGCAATTCACTAAATACAGACAGTATAATTACTAACACATAAACATGTAAAAAATGCCTACTTATAACATACTCAATCCCGATCTATCATGAGAAAACTAAACAAATTAATCTAAATTCAGTACTAACTAACTAACATATATCATATCATAATTAATCTAAATATATAATTCTAACATACCTAATTCTAGCACATAATCAAAATGTAAACAATACATAATTCTAACATACCAAATCCCGACGAGTTTCTTGAGCAGTAAACTACGGAGGAACCAGCTGCGAAAACGACTTAACAAAACGATAATTTTTTTACTAATTTTCTGTTTGGCAGCAGGAGGGAAGAGGGGGCGTGGCTTTTTATAGGAAAAATTGGGAGCTAATCACCGCTTTGGACCAAGGCGGTGAATCCATCATCGCCTTAGTCAACAGCGGTGATGGCTAGGTAGCTGTTACCTACCTCTCCACCTACCAGGGCTGTGTAAAACGTGGGGGCAATCACTGTTGTGGACAGCAGCGGTGATGCCTTCACTGTTGATGTCTAAAG